TTAAGAACTTTGTTTTAATGTTTAAAGAAAATCATCTAGTTTTTGCTCAAAAATCAACCCAGAAATGCCGATCACCATCACCAAGTTCAACTTCAACGTTTTTTTTTGCAAGAGATTGCAGCACAGAGTGGAAAAACAATGAATGTGTAGCATCCCCCCATAGACCTATAGATGTAACTTTCTCGAAGCAATTTTTTCCCTTTTTTTTCTTCTTACAGGATTTTGGTCTCAGGCAATGTTGCAAGTCAATACTCCTTTCCCCAAATGTGAGTAGGTGGATGTGTGTGGAAGCTGTAAAAGTTAATGATCGCTCTCTGACTCATAGCTGATGGTTTCAGGTTGAGGAAAAAGAAAAGAAAAAAAAATTAATGAGGGTAAATAGACATTTGATGGAACAGGGAGACAGTAGGAGAGGTTGTTCTTGGGTCTGAAGGCATGCGTTTTGTTGCAGCAGGATTTCTGGAGAATGCCAGGAAGTGAAGAGGGGCTGCCTTTGTCTGAGCTGTTGTTTTAGGATGGAGTAAGTGCTCAGCGTCTGGATCTTTGCAGGAATGCCTAAGCCCACGTACCTACCAGTCAGTGCTGGTTTTGCCTTCCCAGGGGAGGTCAGAGGCCCCCTTGACACTTTTTAAAAGGGCAGGCAATAGCCCCAAGTCCTGGTTAGAAGTTCACTTCCCGTTAAATCTAAGAGGCTCCCCACAGAGGGGTGGTGTCCTGTCCTGAGGAGGACTGACGACCCAAGGAAAAGTTTTACCTAGTAGTAGTATTGTTTTTTAAAAGTGTTCTGTCTTTTAAGCTAATGGCATGGAAATTAAACTTCAAGTGGCTGATGATGGTAGCTACAGGGTAAAAGGAAGGCAAGTGGACCAAAAAACTCCTGAGGCACAACCTTGTAGGAAATTAATCTGGATTTATTTATTATTATTATTAATTTTAATAAAAGAGAAAATCAGGTGACTCATTAAGCTAAAAATAAAGCAAATGCCCCACTTCTTCCCAATTCTGTTGAATGAGCAGACATCAAAATTAATCTTTGTCACACTGGAGCTTCACTTAGAGCTGGAAGGAAACACCAACATAGGGTTTCGATTTATTTTTTTTATTTGCCTTTGAGGATGAGATCTCTATGGTTGTAAAAGCCCATTCCCTTTCCTCCCATCTCTGGAAATCCCTGAGGTTTTGTATCTGAGACATCACATTTAGGGCCAGTAGTAGTGATTAGAAATAAAAAGAGTGAAATCAAGGTATGCTAATGATAAGAGGAGCGGTGGACTGTAAAATGTTGGTTTTTCAGTTGCTGGTGAGTTGTGCACACCTGGGTCGAGCACAGCCACGTCTTCCTGGAGCTTCCTCTGGCCAAGTGAGGGCCAGGTCACCTGCGAGTGTGAGAATGGTGGGTGGGCTTGGCCACTGTAAACAAACACACAGGAAGGGAAGGTTTATTTTGCTGAGGGTTTCACAGGAAGGAATTTAATGGAAAGCACCTTGGAGTGCTCATTTGGTGACACCCTGGGGAGGGAGGCACCACGTTGAGGGCCTGTTGCGTGATATCCAGGGTATAACAGCCACAGTTGCCAGATGAGGAAGTGCCGGGAGTGCTACAGGGAACCGGCAGCAGCGAGGTCCCAAGAGTTGACTGTGGGAACCTGGTTCTTGTGCTTAGATAAGCTTTGGAGAAACCTTAGGGAGCCCTATGCCTTGTCCTGGGTCTCTCAACCTCCCCATCTCTTCCAAAAAGCAGAGAACCAGCCATCTCTTGTTCTTTCTTGCCTTACAGCTTTTTACAGAGATATAAATACATGGTTGTTCCAGTCTAGAATGCCAAGTTTTTACAGGGTCCTTGTATTTTATCTTTGTCTTAAAAAGCTAGACTATAACGAACAAGGCATCTTTGTGTTTTACAGGGAAGGAAAGAGCAGTTTCAAATGTGTTTTAGAAAGGAGCATTTGGGAAAAGAGGGGGTGGAAACCCAAAGGAGAAACAGGAAAACGGTTAAGGCTTCATCGCTGCAGCTGGGGGACGTGGAGCTCCAAATCCCTTCAGCACAGTGGTCACTGGCGGGGGCTGAAGGATGACTGGAGCTTGCGCTGTGGGTATTTCTGAGCTCGTTCGTGGTTCCACCGTGCGGCTCAGCACCTGAGGAGGGAAGTGACGCTGCTTGGGGGGTGAGGATGGTGTGTGTGTGCAGGTTAAATTAACTCTGTCCTGCCGAGTCTTCAGGACCTGGCAGCTGCACCTTCACTGTTTTAATTGCAGCTCTCTCTCTTGTTGTTTGGGTGGTGACGAACGCCAGGATTAAGAATGGAACCCGACAAGTGAAAATTGAATTCGGATTAGCCCCAGTTTCATTAATGTATTCATAAGGCTGTGATTATATGAAATTTTGTTTCCACAACCTGTACTTAGTTATCAGGTGTCCATTCAGTTTTAATTGACAATATAAGATTCCTGTGGTTACCCTGAGTACAGATTGCCTAGGGCTGCACAGGGTCTGAATCAGGCAGTTGGAAAAGAGGGGATGAAACCCGCTGAGAAGGGGGGGACATGTGGTTAGTGTTGCCTTCTCTGCCTAGGAGGAGAAACCCCCTCTCAGACAAGAGCTGCTCTCCAGCCAAGAATTCCAAACTCGCAGAGGAACCTGTCTCGCGCACAAAAGTTGTTTTAACACGATGCAGGATTGTCACAGTAATTAGTGCAATCTCCGCTCACTGACTGGCAGTTTTCACAGAAAGGACGGGGGGCAAAGGGTGCAAATTCATCTTTCCTTCCCAGCAGTCCACTCTGGATGACCTGCTTCTGAGTGTGTGTGGGGGCCGTGTGCGTGGGGGGCATGTCTTCAGTTGCTCAGTGCTCATCTTGGCTTGTTTTAGGGAGTGCGGTTTATTACCCTGCCTTGACAGGCGAGGAAGGACTTTTGGGGGGGCCCCCATCTCTATTGCGCCCCCTTTTAACTTTGATTTCTATTATGTTCCCGGGCAAGCAGACTCCTAATATATCCAGGCAATATTTTTGTTTATTTGTGACGGATAAAATGCTCCCAGAACCCACTGAATCCAAAAATGGGAACTTAACAGCCTTATGCCAGGAGCAATATGGCTTTAGACTATTTTTGAAAATTTGATTACTGTTGTGTTATGTTTATTTTGAGTTGGTTCTAAGATTCTTATGTGAAACCCCTCCCTTTCCCCCCCCTCCTCTTTTGTATGGACTGAATAATTTTTCTGGCAGGGAGTAAGATATAAGCTCATTGGGTCTAAACCCCTTGCAGGCTAGGTTACAGTGTGCTCTACAGAAGTGTGCTGGAAATGGTAATAGGAATAGTATAGTAGTAGCAGTAGCAGTCGTTTGTAGTAATCATACTGATCCCTGTTTGGAAACACCACTGGTAGGCCGACTGCTACGAGGGGGGTGGGCAGCAGTTTCTTTGGACCCATCAGATTGTTCATCATATGTGCGTAAAGGGCAATAATTTATTAAAATGCATTTTCAGGTATTGCTGAGATCCTTTAGTAATTGTTGTAGTGTTTATAAAAGAAATCATAGAAGGTGTTTGTTTTCCCAATTGCTAGGATTCCAAGATTTAACAAGTGTTGTTTGGGAAGGGAAGAATTTGGTGAGGAATCTTGGGCTTCCTTTCTCTTTGGGGACACATACTTCTTGGGTGAGGATTCTGTAGGGCTTCCAAGGGAAAGGCCCAGCAGAGACGGCAGCATTTTCCTGTGCAGGGTCCAGGCGAACCAGGGTAGGGTGGACATTCACTCAGGGGCCTCTGAGTAGGTGGTCTTTCTGTAGAAAACTTGGTGGCTATTTGGCAGTGGTTGACTCCCTCTTTGGAGAAGTGTGGACACCTAGAGTGCGGGCTACCGAGATGTCCTGGGCAGCACAGCTTAGTCATTGTGAAAGAATGTATGAGGCATGGGGTGGCCCCTGAATTCTGCCTGACACATTTGTTTTCCCCAAAATAGAATTGAGTTTGAGAGCTAGAGCCCAGTTACTAGAACTGTCGGGGGCTTGTCCACCTGTGGCAGTCTTGTGGCTTCTCATAACCCTTTCTCTCACACGCTCTTCTCTGGCCTACATGTTGCGATTCTGATGACTTTTTGCAGCACAGTTAATTTTCCTGCTCAGCACACTGGCTTCCTTTATGTCTTAATGGACATCCGTCTCCCCTGTTCATGTCACTGATTCTCACTCCTAGCCCCCTCCCCACTCCCTTTTTGCTTATTGAATAGGGCTTTTTTTTTTTTTTAACTTTACCTTAGATTATTATCATCTTAACCATAGCAACAAATAAAAATACATGGGTCTTGATTGAATGCCACTGCTGCACTTCAATCTAGGAAGGTTTGTCTGCTTTTCATAAACTGCTTAAGATGTTTCCTTGTAGTTTGTGACATAAGCAGAACGCTTTGATTTGATTTCTTTCTACAGCTCCATTTTCAGTCCGGGAGCACACATTACTCTTCGTACAAAACGATTGAACACCAGATTGCAATTCAGGTAGGAAACGCAACAGATCCTGAAGCTTGAATTGTCAATGTGTAGGTCTCTTGTGTCTTATTCTCTACCCCTTCCCCAGCCTAGATGATGATGATGACGATGATGACGGCGATGGTGGTGATGATGGTGGTGGTGATGACGGTGGTGGTGATGGTGGTGGTGATGGCGGTGGTGATGGCGGTGGTGTGGTGGTGGTTGATTGGGGGAGGTAGGAAGCAAAGAATAAATGAGAGCAGAACAAATGCTGCTAAAATGATTTAAAGATACGGAAAGAAAGAGAAGCCTGTGTTTTTTGTGAAGAGTCTCTTGTTCAGGCATAATAGGCACACAGACCCCAGCGTGGCTACTGATTTTTGCTTAGGGAGGGGTCTGAAATTGGGAGTAAAATGAGGCGACAGAAAGTGAACGGGAAGAGTGAGGGGGGAGATGGGAGAGGAGGCTGTGTGACAGCCAGGGAGTTGTTTCCGGTGGATCAAAATCATGTTAAGTGGTGCTAAGAATATCACTTTTGACCTGATTGTCCTGAAATGTTGATTTCTCTGGGGCCTGTTGATATATGACACTTACAGTGCTGGAAGGGAAAGGCGACAGATCCCAGCTTCTGATGAGTGTCCTGTTTCCTGCTCACGTAGTACTTCCATTCTCTTAAATCCAAAGGCTAAACAAATCATGAACTAATATAGACTCAGAGCTGAACCGATGCCAGCAGAACGCAGTAGTGGAGGGAGAGCAGACTAATACGATTTTCGTCTGTCTGCCTGGCCTGGCCTGGCTTTGCCAGGATGGATGGACCTCATGGTGTAACTAATGGGACTGAAACTTCTCGAGTTTTCTGGCTTAACCCTTTGATGGGAGGCTTTTGACACTGGTCACTGTAGTGTTCAAGTCTGGCCCTGGAACCTCCTCTTGTCCCATCGTTCCCTGCCTCATAGTTACCCTTGCAGATAACTTGGGTACGTGCATGTGGCCTCATGGATCTCCAGCCACGTGGCATCTTTGTGTCTCTGCCGCTTCACTTCTGCATCTCTGCATCCTCCTGGGTAAGACTTTCCAATAGATGTTTGCCCCAGGTAACGTGTGCATTATTCCACTGGGGAAACTATGACTCAGTAGACTTTTATTTGGTGGATCCCTGATATTTTTGTACTCATTTCCAAGTGACGGTGAACTTATTTTAAAAATATTTCGATTACTTCTGAAGTTGTGCAGGCTGATCTGTACTTGAGGGGAAAGCGCGACCTTGATTTTACCCCCAACCCCCAAACATTTCCAGGACTGGTGTCTTTAGTTGGACGCTACAGTTGTCCTTCCTGGCACACTCCTGGTGGACCCTTCTCCATTTTGATTAACGGCACAGTGAGTCTTGCTCCCAGAAAAGGGTTTAGACTCGGGGTTTGGTTAGAGAACGTGCCCAGGCCCGGACTCCCGATGAATGGCGGGGTGAACAGACACTATCCCGAGGCCTACTACATCTCGGGGAGTGCTGGAAAAGCCTGTTGCCCGCGGTGTGGGAATTGTTGAGACTGAATAGCATAGTGATCCCTATCTTGGTGTGGAAAGGCTGGCTGGGGCCATGTCACTGGGAGACCAGCCGAGACCAGACCAGCTGTTGTGTCTTTACACCCGGTGCTGAAGTGTCCCTTGTTAGGCCGAGCAGCTCGTCTTTTCTCCAAGCCACCTGGCACGGCGCAGGCCATGGGAAGCTCTGTCTCAGGAGGAAGGTAGAGTAAATTACAGAGCTCATTGTTTGGAGGACTGAAACCATTACTATTCCTCCATGAACAGGTAGTATTGTTCTGCCTGCTTCTATTTGCTGAGGCTTGATGCCCATGTGGGCAAACAGAGAGACATTTTATCAGAGACCCAGCACCGCATGCTTTCAGTTCATTCTCCCCCACTCTCTGCTAGACCAGGACGAGGCCAGGCCAAATGGCAGCTAACTGTAATTCTAGTTTGATCATCAAAGGATAAATGGCAAAAAACAAAACAAAAGACGCAAAGGGAAAAGAGAGGAAACCTCAGACACAAAAAGTGGTTCCCAAGGCACATGGCAGCTCAGCCACGGCGTGGGGGTTAGGGGAGAGGGTGGCATCGTTTTGGGGGGGGTGTAGAGTAGACATTTTCCCTGGGCTCTGTTCCCCGGTTTAAGGCTTACATGCAACGTGATGGTCAGGGCCTAATTTTCTTTCCTGGAAACTTAAACCGGTTTAACCTCAGTAAATACTGTATTTCAATATGAGCTGAGCTTGTTGCTCTCCTAAGCTATATCCTAAAATAACCTCGAGTAGTATGATACCGTGTATCACATGAGATTCATACCCCTCTCGCTTCCCATCCCTCCTGTAATCTCAGGGCTTCGCCAAGTTCACCGTTTATATGAATGGACGCTGAGTGATTCTGTAGACAGGTCACGGTCTTGTAAAAGGTATGGACACAAGGGCTGTGTTGAGATCTTCTCCCTCTCTTGACAATCTCCCCACTCCTCTCACTCTTGAAATGACAAAAGTAACAAAAATGATTCTCCCTGGAGGGTTATCACAAATGTAAATGGAATGAAAAATTAAAAACTTTTTTTTAGACATAGATATTTAACTTGACTGATCTTTAAAAAGTTTTATTGAAGTACAGTACTCAGATCTTTAGTGGAAAGGTAGATGAACTTTTACATATGGCAACAACCATGAAACCATTACCCAAATCGGTATAGTATAGAATGGAATTGGAATATGGTTTCTGTAAAGGGCCAGATAGTAAATACTTTAGGGTTGGTGGGCCATACAATCTCGATGGCAACTACTCAACCTCCGCCATTGTGATGAGAAAGCACCTAAAGGCATAGACGTGGCTGTGTCCCAATAAAACCTTATAAAATAAGACAGTGACTGGATTTAGCCCATGGATGGTAGTTTGCTTCCCCTGATAAAGAATATTACCAACTCTCCAGAAGTCTATTGTTCCCATCTCTTCCCAGCCATCCGTCTTCCCCTACCTCTAACAAAAATTCTCACCATGGATTAGTTTTATCTATCATCATGGGTTAATTTTGCCTGTTCTTTAGCTTCTTAGAAATGGAATTGTACAGACATACTGTCTCATGTCTCGCGCCACTCAGCATTATGTCTGAGTTTTATCCCTTTTGTTGTGTGTAGCAATAAGTTGCTTTTTTATGGCTGCATAGTATTCCACACAGGAATATGCCACACTGCATGTAGTTTTTCTGTGTTGTTAGATATTTGGATTGCTTCCAGTTTTCTGCTGTTGTGAAGAAGGCCCTGGTAACACTCTCACCCACATCTTTTCACACACAGAAGTCAACTTGGAGAGGCGTAGGGTAATAATGCGTGTGCTTTAGCTTTGCATTGACCTTTTGATGGAGACTTTAACACTGGATTTCAAGTATAGTCACGGAGATGCATTGCGTAGTGGTTGTTAGGTATGTGAGTGATATTTATGAGAAGGAGCAGTAAGATAAGGCTACTTTGCCCTGAGTCCAGTGCACGTCCCTTCACGTAGCGGTTTGGCCTCTGGCCTCAGCTCCTGGGAACTCCTCCCACCTTCTCCATTAACCTGGAGGAGATTTTGCAGGCTGCACACAGAGGTGGACCCACACTGCGGATGGCTCCCAGGGATGCCCTCGAGGGGCTTGTGGATCAATGTTTAGGCACCTCTGTTCCCTCCCTGAAGGGAACTCTCCCAACACTCCTCCTCTCATCATTATTCCAACCCCAAGAGCAGGGTTGTAAGCGAGGTCAAGACCCGCAGATGTTTCCCTTGGTTTTCAGAAGGGCTACTTCAGGACCAATTAAGCCTTTGTTTTAAGAGTATTTTGGCCAGAGGTTGATGTTTTAACACCAAGTCAGATGTGATTTAGGAAAAAAAAACCCTCCACACTCAGCAAAAACAAACCAAGTGGACATTTCTTGGTTGTTTTTCTTTTAAGATGTGAAGTGGTTTGTGTGTGTGTGAGTGTGCACACACACGCTTGTATGTGTGCGCAAAGACAACTAGGAGAGGATCCAGAAGAAATGGACCATTTTATTTGTTTACACAGCTGAGCAGTGGAGACCTTGCAGTGGGTGTTGCCTCTCCTCTTGCCCTCAGGCTTGCAAGCTCCCATCTGAGCCATCCCAAAGCATACCCCTTCTGCTGGGGGTCAGAGCTCGTCTGCCGTGATTCAGGAAGGCCGGGGGCCCTCCTCCAAGGCCTGGGTGCTTTGTGGAGCCCGGGAGAGGACAGAAACTGGAGAGCCCCATATTGGCCCCTTATTCCTGGATGTGACCTTGATGCTTGTCTTGTCTTGTCTTGTCTTAAAATTGTCAAGATTCCTGAGGTCCTACGGCTTGGAGTCCATCTCTGACCAAGTAGACCCTTGGCATTTGTGGTAAAAATATCCAGAGATGAGTAGCAGTGGACATGACCAGGATGTTTACGAGGGCTCCTGGCTTTCCTCCAGTTCACGGTTCTCATGTAGTGTCTTGTGTTCTAAGCACGTTCCCTGGCCTTTCAGTTTTCAGGAGGATTTGCTGTCTCCTTTGAGGAGCAAATTTGGGCTAAGTGGGAGAACTCCCAAGATCAGATCCAGTTCTCGGTATAATTGGTATAATCACATCTCACTGTTCCTTTAGACTCATTGCCACGCCATTCTGTGAGGTTTCATCTCTATATTCCATAAGGAATGCAGTGTGTGTGTGCGTGTGTGTGTGAGAGAGAGAGACACAGAGAGAGATGTCATTTCACTAGAGTAGTTTGACAAAGCCTGTGGATGCCAGTTAAACTCATTCAAAAGGTTCATTCACTTGCCTCAGTGTTGGTTTAGCCTAATTGTCTAATTTAAGTCCACACCTCAGAATGCTCATTCATTTTCATTCAAAAACATTTATTGTGCATGTACTGTGTGCCTGGGGAATTCATCAGTGAGCAAAACAGTCAAAAGTTGCTTGCTGTCACTGAGCTTAAATTCTAGTGATGTTTTAAATATGGATTTCTAAGCACCCCAGTCC